GGGGGGGGGCGTCTAGGGTAGCTGGGGCCCAGGCAGGACGAGGTTGGGGGAGGGGCGTGTAGAGGGGCAAGGAAGCCCATGCTTGTGAATTCCTGACTTCTGGTTCTGCTCCCCCCTCCTAGCTCCCATCTCGCCGCTGCGGAGTCGTGCCCCCCATGTGCTGGAGGACCCCCAGGCCCTGCGGATCTCCACCTGTATGGAGCCCCACCTTTCTTACCGTGCCTTAGCCTATGGGAGGGATGAGTTGGAACATGGGGGTGGGGGAGGCTAGGCCAGTGCTACCCCTTCCCCATTCATGGCTAGTCATACCCCTCCGCTGCGCGGTCCATCTCTGCCAGCACCAGCCATGCCCAGCGCCCCGTGTGGGCATGGCCTACTCCCTGCCATCCCCTGGGGTCTTCCCCCGACATCTGTGCTAGGGAGAGCATGTCAGGCCCGGGGTGGGAGCGTGAGCAGAGGCCTGCCTGCTCACCCACAGCAGCTGGGGCAGATTCTGGGGTGCTCCAGCCTCTGGCCATAGCTGGGGAGCATGGCCAGCCCCTGAGCAGGGCTAGTTGTGTTCTCACAGCCCACCCTGGCACAGGAGGGCACATCAAAAGGTTTCCAAGTCCCCTCCAGCCGGGGACCGCCTCCTGCCCTCCACTCACAGAAGACTCCCTCCCCCCTCCTCCCTGCACTCCCGACCCGTCGTCTTCCTGCAGCATCAGCCAAGGGCCAGCGGGAGCTGAGTCTGCCACCTTGCCAGCATGGCCCCCTTGTGCCGAGTCATGGCAGGGGAGAGCAGCGACCCCATCACAGCTGGCAGCACCTGCCTGCCTGCCCCGGAGATGCCCCCTCTGTGCACGCAGGAGCAGCCCTGCCCTTCCCTCTGGCTCACTGGCAGGTCCCAGGGTGAAAGCGCTGCAGTAAAGGAGCTTGCCAGTCCTGCCTGGTGGGGAGGAGCTAGACGCTACCAGGGCAGCTTGGGGGCCTAGCCTGAGGCTGCCTCCCCTGCTGCTCTCAAGGGGACAGCGCCTAGCCCCTGTGCAGTAGTGACCTGTTCTGCCTGACTGCAGCCCACGTCCCCACCTGACTCAGCCCACGAGGGGCAGGGCAGTGCCTGGCCGCCTCGTCCCCTCTGCCCTCCCCAGTGGGCCTGCTGGGCTGGGCTGGGTTGAGCCTGGATAAGGAAGGCAGGGATCCAGCTTCCAGTGGCTTCTGCCACGGCCTCGCCTGGGACCTTGGGCCTGTCCTGAGCCGTCCGTCAGGTGGGGACCCTCATAGGATCTCCTGTGCTCGTCCCAGCCCAAAGGCTGCCCCCCCCTGCCTTTCCCATGGTCACTCATGGGGTGCTCCTGTGAGCCTGGCGTTGCGTTGCCTCCGTGCACAGCCCAGCCCTGCCGAGGGCAGAGTCCAACAGAGCCAGGCACAAGCTGCACTTCCAGCTGCCTGCCCCATCCCTGCTTACCCAGCACTGGGCCCTAGAGCTCTGTGTCAAGGCCTGGGCTGAGCTGGGGGCTTTAGACAAGAGCGTCTCCCCTCTGATCTGGGGCTCTCTCCGGCAGGCTCTGAGCTGTCCCTGAGCGGACGGAGTCCTGTCTCCACCTGGGCCTACCTCCAGCACCTGAAAGTGATCGACAACCAGAAGGAGCTGTCGCGGCTGTCGCGGGACCTTGAGTCCTGACACACAGGACCAGGGGCAGAGCAGGAGGAGCCAGGCTAGGACCTCCAAGGGGCACGCTCGCCACCCGCACAGTGCCCCTGCCTGGCTGCACGCGGCAGCTGTCTCTCCACCTCCCGGGCGAGGGCTGGCCACTGCCCCCACTGCTTCCAGACTGCCTGCCCAGCCAGGACCAGGGCTCCCTTGGGCTGCTGTGCTGCTTCTCTCGGACGTGGAGCTGGCTGGCCAGAGCCCGGAGCAGTGATGGGCCAGCCCCAATGGCGGCTTTCAGCTCATGCAACTTCTGTTCGGAGGAGAGACAGGAAGGGGCTGGGCCGGATGCTCTGACTTTACTCACTGCTGCCAGGAGAAGTGGTTTGTACCCAGGGATGTTTCCCTTCCTGGTCCTGCAGCAGCATCTCCAGCCTGGACCTGCCAAGGAGAGAAGGCAGCTTCTCTGCTCTGGTGCCTCCTGCACTCCCTGCACCATGAAGGGGACAGCGCCAGGCACAACGGATCTGGCCCCTGGCTATAGTGCCCACGGCTGGACCTGTCAGGGTGAGGTGGGGGGTTAGCTTGCGCCTCCCACAGTTCCCCTGCTGACAAGGCGCCAGCCCCCGTAAGCCGGCGGAGCAAAAATCTCTTCAGGCCTGGGCTGTCCTGGCCTAGCTTAGCCCGTGCTGGAGAGCCGGAGGCTAGTGTAAACATGGGGTAAAGGGTGCCAGGCCCTGCCCAGCTGAGCCGACCAGCGACTAACAGGTAGTGGGTTCAGGAGAGGGCCCACTGGAAGTAAGAGCTGGCGAGCTCCAGGCTGGGGGAGGGGGTGGATGGTCCTCCACTGCCAAGACAAGGCTGGATCAAAACTTCCTCTTTCCAAGAGCTGGAAATAAAAAGCTCCTTCCCCAGCAGCTGCAGAGACAGGATTTCTGGGCACGCAGCTCGCTGCCGGCCAGGGCAGGGCAGGCCTAGCCCAGCAGTGCCCCTTCCGGTGGGGGGTGTATGGTATTGGGTCCCACTGCTGAGGGGCCTGTCCAACGTCACTCATGTCCGTTGCCTGCGCATCAAGGCTTCATCCATGTGAGTGAGAAGCGGCTCAGCCCAAAGGCCTGGGGCGCTGGGGCAGCACTGGCCTGACAAGTTGAATGCTGTTCTTGCCCCAGGGGTCGGTGGGTGCATGCTCATACCTCTGCCTTGCAGCACAGCCTGCAGTGGGGCAGCTGGCTGGGTATCGGGTAGAGACAGCCGGAGGTGTCCCATGGGCCTGCTGCAGCGGGAACAGTACTTGGCATATAACGCCTGCCTCAGCTCTGTTGCCCTGCAGCACGTAGGCAGTGGGTTGGCCACAGATAGCGTGGGCCTCCCGGGCTGGGTAAAGGCCTAGGGCCCCCAAGCTCATTAGCCTGAAGCTCAGAGAGAGCCTGGCTGCATGGGAGACCCCCAGTGCAGGTGCGTCTGCACAACATGGAGCTCTCGTCACCCTCCTCACTGTCCAGGCCCCCCTCCCTGCTGGGGGAGCAGCTTGCTGGGGTCTGATGGAGCAGTGGGGTGGGGGTTGGGTGGCTGGCACACAGACTGTGCTGGAGAGGACAAGGCTGGGCCTGTGCACAGACATGGGCTGGTCTCTGGTCAGTGCCCTGAATTGAAGGGACTTTCGCTGGCACTCCCAGAGGACGTCTGCTGGTACCGAGAGACTCCAGTTTGGCAGCAGTGAAGTAACCCCACTCCCCCCTGAACGCAGCTCCTGGGGCTGCCCATAGCTGGAGGCCCCCCCCCAGCCTGGCCCTGCGGACATGTCAGATACATGGGGAGAAGGGGAGTGAGACCTCGTGGGAAAACTCTCCTGGCAGCTCTGCCACTGTCACGCTGGAAGCAGGCTGTGCACAGGTGCCCTATCCCCATTCAAGACCCACTCCACTTCCCTACTTTCTGGCTACGTCTACACTGGCATGATTTTCCGAAAATGCTTTTAACGGAAAAGTTTTCCATTAAAAGCATTTTCGGAAAAATCACGTCTAGATTGGCAGGATGCTTTTCCACAAAAGCACTTTTTGCGGAAAAGCATCCGTGGCCAATCTAGACGTGGTTTTCTGCAAAAAAGCCCCAATTGCCATTTTCGCGATTGGGGCTTTTTTGCAGAAAACACTACTGTGCTGTCTACACTGGCACTTTTGCGCAAAAGTCTTTTGGAGCAGCAAAAGTATTTCCGGAAAAGCACTGATGATTTTACAGGAGATCGTCAGTGCTTTTCCGGAAATTCAAGTGGCCAGTGTAGACAGCTGGCAAGTTTTTCTGCAAAATCGAATGATTTTGCAGAAAAACTGGCTAGTCTAGACCCAGCCTCTGTGTGTCCCTTATCCTGCCTTCCCAATGCGGGAGCCAGCTCTGTTCCTGGAAGAGCCTGTGTTGGCTGCTTTTCAACACCAACCTGTCATCCTGCACTCCCCAGCAAATGCCCTGTCCAGGACCCACCCCACCTTCCTACATGTCCCTTATCCTGCCTTCCTAATGCAGGTTCCTGCTCTGTCCCTTGAGCAGCCTGTGTTGGGTGTCTGGGCTGCTCCAAGGTGGGCAGGACTAGAGCTCCCCAAGCAAATGCCCAATCCTGTAACCTACTCCAGGATCCACCACACCTCCAGTGGGTCCCTTATCCTGACTGCCTCATGTGGGAGCCAGATCCATCCTTGGGATAGCCTGTGTTGGCTGTCTGGCTGCTCTCTGCGTGGGTAGGACTTGAACGGCCAAGGGGGAAGCAGGACTCAAGCCCACCACCCTGTGCTTCTCCAGCAGATGCCCTATCCCCTAAGCCACTGCAGGACTCCATGCCACCTCCCTACTTTCAGCATGACCCTTATCCTGCCTTCCTAATGCAGGCGCTGGCTCCATCCCTGGAGCAGCCTGAGTTGGCTGTCCGGCTGCTCTCTGGGTGGGCGGAGTGAGAGGGCGGATGCCTTATCCCAGGGTACTCAGCATGCGGCCTGTGGTGTGGTTTGGGTTTACACGAGGCTCAACACATGGTCTGCAGGTAGGATCCTTTGAACGTGGCCTCCACGCGGAACACGCTGCACAACGGGCTGAACATTGGAAGACAAGCGGACGGGCTGGCTGAACAGACGGGTACAGGGTGTCGGTGTTTCTAGCCCCTGTGGGGGAGGTGCCGGGAGCACCAGGGCATTGTGTAAAAGAAGCTATTTGCATGTATATGCAACCACACTTAAGCTGCGGCCCTCGGCATGTGCTGTGAGTATCATTGTGGCCCCCGGGGCTTCCAAAGCTGAGTAGCCCTGCTGTACATTAACAACCCTATTATTGCTACCGCTCAAGCGCATGCCCCTTGTAGCTCAAGGCAAGCAGCCTGTATTTTGGCATGGAAGGTTTCAGGTGTAAATAGAGCTGGCAGCCAGGACAGGAACTTGTTTTGGGTGGGCGGGCACAGAAAAACCAGTCGTGGGACATGCCCAAGTGAGGAGCAAAAAATAAAACCCCCTAAAACTCCCTTATGGATGTGGCCCCCACCGATACGCAGGAAAAAAGAGACACCTCGCTCCTGCAATTCAGGGCACCATGGTTCCCCTCACCTTCCAGCCCCTTGGGGGGCACCAAGGCTCGGGGGCTTCTCCCAGGGCTGGATTAACTCTTCTGGGGGCCAGGGCTAGTAGATGTTGTGGGGCTCCACTAGGCTCTGAAGTGGGACCAAAATGAGGGGTTCAGTATGCAGGAGAGGTGGGTAAGGGTGGGGATGTGGGGGCTGGGCAGGAGGTGAGGCGCAAGAGTGGGCTGGGAATGGGGGGCTCTGGGCAGGTGGTAGGGCTGGGGATGCAGGGTCTGTGGAAAGGGGAATACAGGAGGGGTGTAGAGTCAGGGCAGGAGGGAGAGTACATGAGTGGGTGTGGAGTCAGGGTGGGAGAGGAGTGCAGCAGGAGCCTGGGATTCAGGGTCTGGGTGTGAACAGGCAGGGAATGGGGGGGTCTCCCTGGCTGGGAATGGGGGGCTCTGGGCAGGTGGTAGGGCTGGGGATGCAGGGTCTGTGGAAAGGGGAATACAGGAGGGGTGTAGAGTCAGGGCAGGAGGGAGAGTACATGAGTGGGTGTGGAGTCAGGGTGGGAGAGGAGTGCAGCAGGAGCCTGGGATTCAGGGTCTGGGTGTGAACAGGCAGGGAATGGGGGGGTCTCCCTGGCACAGCTCCTGGGGGGGGGGGGGGGGGGTTCGCCCCCGCCTCCCACCCTGCCCCCACCCCCATCACATTCAGGGTACAAGCAAACTCAGCCACTTCCTTCCCCAGCCTACCCCTCACTCCCTGCCAGCAGTCCAGGTCAGGCCAGCACCTACAGCCTGGCATCAGGGGTTACATGTCCAGAAGCTGGAAATATGCCAGGCCCACAGCCCGTATTCAGGGGGCCCTGGAGCAGGGTTTGGCTCAGTCCCATCACACAATAGTAGGAAGCAGGGCAACTTAAGGGTGGGTACCTGGGCAACTGCTATGGGGCACCATGGTCGGGGGGTGCCCTGTGGCAGTGCAGAGGCACAGGTGTAGTAGGTGTAGTAGGGATGCAGGGGTGCTGCAGCAACCCCCAGATTTTGCACCCTGTGCTGGGGTTCCAGCAGGATTCCAATGAGGATAGTGAGGAGGAGGGAGACTGGTAGGAAGAAGCCATGGAATAGCCTGCCAGGAGAGAGACAGAGGCCTCAGACCAGAGCAGAGCCGGATTGTTCCCATGTGCTGCTTTGGGCCTGGCCTACACTAGAGCAGGCAGGTTGGCTTAAGGTACCATCCAGTTACGCAAATGCATAGCTGGTTTCGCTTACCTTAAGCCGAGCCTCTGCAGCGTCTACACAACAGGAGGCCGATGCGATCGTGTGCTCCCGGCGGCCTCCCTCGCTCCTTGCACAGTGAGGACAGGACACCAGCAGGGCCTGTACTCAGGTTCAATCTGGGGGTCTATGATAGACCCCTAAATCAAATGCTAGCAGATGGACCTCCAAAGGGTCGCTGTCGGAGCCAGCAGCTGGGCCTTCCTTAATCCCTGGTGTGAGACCAGCTGCACATTCTGGGGCTGGCCCCCAGCAACCCTAGGCAGCAAGCGGTGAGCAGTGAGACATGCACACCCACTCTCCCTGGCCCTGCCCTGGAACTGGGGTCAATACCTGAGAGTGGAGACCACCAAGAGACCAGCGAGCTGGCTAGAAGGCCACGACTGGCCGACAGCTGGGAGAGTGGAGCTTCTAGTGTGCCTGCATCCCAGAGCGGGGGTCTGTCTTCGCCATCCCTCAGCACAGCAAGGGGCTGTTTGGTTGCAAGAAAAGGTGGTGGGCAATTCAAAAGCTGTCTCATGCCACGTGCAATAGTGGGAACTCCCTGGCCCGGGTGTCGCTGAGGCCCAAAGCCTGGCAAGGGCCAGAGCAGGACAGGCTGTTTGCATCATAAGCGACAGGTTTTAGAGCCGGCCTTTCCCACCCTGCTGCAGGGCTTAGGCTACTCTACAGGCCCATATACACTTGAAACGCGGGAGCCGTGCAGCTGCAGCATGTCAGTGAAACACCAGTGGGAGGGGGTCTCCTGCTGGGGTAGGTAACGTGCTGCCCCACAAGGTGTCAGCTCGGCTGTGGGAAGAATTCTGCCGACACCAGCAGTTAGGTCGACTTGACCTCCACGAGTAGGCTACATCTACACTGCGGCGCTATTCGGGCTTCCGGAGTATCCCAAGATAGCTATTCCACATCTTCTGAGCACGCCCGTTATTTCGAAATATAACCAGCTCGCTATTCCGACGTCCCTGTAACCCTTGTTCCACGAGGAGGAAGGGCCGTTTTGGAACAGTGCTTTATTTTGAAATCAGTGCTGCGTAGACAGCGCCAAAATATGAAATAATCTATTTTGAAATTAACTTGAAATAAGCTACGTAAATTGTGTAGCCCAAATTGTGTAGCTTATCTTGAGCTCCGGTTGCAGTACAGATGCTGCAGACACACCCTTAAAGGCCAGAACAAGACAATGTGATGGGGAGGATGGTGCATTCCCTATTTGCTACCGCAGGGTCCTCACGCCTGCCTCTTCCACGCGCCTCTCAGAGAACGAGGATATGGACCTTGGCTCAGAGCCATTCCCATGTTCCCAGTGGCTGCCCAAGCATGTGCTGAGGCACAGAGAAGTCAGACCCTTCTCCCCTTCCACGGCAGCGTTCTCGTGACGATCCAGGGCCAAGATGTCCACAGAGAGAGCTCTGTGGGTGCTGGGAGGGGCAGCTCCACCAGCAGACTCCAGGAGACCCATTCCCAGTTACAGGCTCCACACCTCCAGAGCACAGCCCCACGCTCCACAGGGATCAACTCT